ATTTTGGCCACCATCCTAGTGTAGGTGGCGCCGGAGTTTTTGAGTCCGAAGGCCATGACGAGGTAGCAGAAGATTCCCTCTGGGGTCATGAATGTTGTCTTCTCAGCGTCATCTTCATGCATGGAGATCTGGTGGTACCCTCTGAAGGCGTCGAGGAACGACATCAACTCGCACCCCGCCGTCTCGTCCACCAGCTGATCAATGTTGGGGAGAGGGAACGGGTCCATGGGGCACGCCTTGTTCAGGTCAGTGTAATCAACACACATTCTGAACGTCGGTGGCTTCTGGGCGAGGACGACGTTGGCCAACCACGTCGGGTACTTCACCTCCTTAATGTGTTTGATTGAGAGGAGCATGGCGACATCCCCTTTGACGAAGTCCCGCCTGTCGGCGGACAAGTAGCGCCGCTTCTGTTTGACGGGCGCGGAGGCCGGATCGACGGTCAGCCGATGAGTGATCACCTGGCGGCTGATGCCTGGCATATCGTCCGGGCCCCACGCGAAGACAACGGCGTACGACCGTAGGACGAGGAGGATGGCGTCTCGTTGGTCCTGGGGGAGTTGCTTTCCGACCTTGAGAACCCGCTCCGGCCGGGAGGTATCCAGAGGGATTTCCTCGACCTCCTCGGCCGGCTCCGCATGTGGCCTCTCCTCGTCTATGGCGACGGCGGCCGTAATGGTGTCTATCCTCTGTCCTTCCCTTTCGGCCGGCCTCGTTAGCTTGAGGTAGCAAGCTCTGGCTATCCTCTGATTTCCTCTGGCGTAGCCGATGCCGTCGTTGGTGGGGAATTTCAGGCACAAGTGCTTCATGGAGATGATGGCCTCCAAGTCCTCCAGCGCTGGCCGACCCAAGATCAGGTTGTGGGTGCACTGGAGGTTGACCACCATGAATTCCATGTCAATTTTGGCGTGGTGGGGGCTGTCACCGACCTCCACGGGGAGGACTATCGTGCCCTCGGCGTCGATAGAGTCCCGGTGAAGCCGGATAACGGGGTCTTGATCGGCTTCAGCAGAGCCCTGTCCAGCTTCAGCTGCTTGAAGGTGTCCAGGTACATCACGTTGACGGAGCTCCCCGTATCGATGTAAGTACGGTGGATGATGGAGTCACCGATCTCACACCGCATGACGAGGGCGTCCCTGTGTGATTCCGTACCTGGAGGCAGATCCTTGTCGGTGAAGGTGATCGCCTCCGTTCGCTGCTTCTTCGGCTGGGGGGGAACGTGGGATACCTCCCCAATGTAAAGGGATTGGGCCCATTTCTTTCTCTGAATGGCGGAGTCCCCCCCAGTGTTCCCACCTACGATGAGGTGGATGTGATTCTTCTTCGGCGAAGGCTCTTCGAAGTCCTCGTCGTCGCTGAGCCTACCAATCTCCCGCTTCTTCGCAGAGGGTTCGCCCCCATGTTTGTCGGTGTTTACCCAAGTGTTCTTGCGTGGCCATATCAATATCTCCGGCCATATCGCTGATATGGCCGGAGATATAATGGCGTACATCTACTCTCGAGGGGCCAGCGTACGAGTGGTTCAACGGGCTCCCAGAAGGAAGCATCGACTCATGGCAGGATCTCGCCCAGCGCTTCCTCACTCACTTTGCCGGGAGGAAGCGCGCCAAGAAGTATTTCACCCACCTCCTCTCCGTCAAGCAGCAGCACGAGGAGTCCCTCCGGTCATTCATCGATCGGTGGACGAGGGAGACCGAGGAGGTCGAGGGGGCCGATGAGCGCACCCTCCTCGCCTTGTCCCTCCGGTCATTCATCGATCGGCCCCCCTCGACCTCCTCGGTCTCCCTCGTCCACCGATCGATGAATGACCGGAGGGACTCCTCGTGCTGCTGCTTGACGGAGAGGAGGTGGGTGAAATACTTCTTGGCGCGCTTCCTCCCGGCAAAGTGAGTGAGGAAGCGCTGGGCGAGATCCTGCCATGAGTCGATGCTTCCTTCTGGGAGCCCGTTGAACCACTCGTACGCTGGCCCCTCGAGAGTAGAGAGGAACCAACGGCAGAGGTATTCGTCGGACGCGTTCACCATCAGCATGTTGTTCTGGTAACGGCTGAAGTGCTCCTGGGGGTCTGATCGGCCATCGTAGGACTTGATGGCGTTCCCCCTGTACTTCTCAGGGATGGGGGCCGAGAGGACCCTATTGGTGAAAGGGGTCCTGGTCCTGACCTGGATGATGGGGTCACCTCGCCCTTCGGCCAGCTCCCTCTCCAGGGCGCTAACTTTGTTCATGAGCGCGTTGAGGCCGGGGTCGTTGGAGGCGCCGGCCGTAGGGATGTTGGCCGACTGCTTGGCCTCCATCTGAGCCAGCCTCCTTTCCAGCTGGGCGATGACCTCGTCCCGGGGGTCCCTGTCGGCCGCAGCGGCGCCCGGCTGGTTTCTCAGGCGCTCGTTGTGAGCCGCGTTGATCCGGTGACGCACGTCATCCTCGTGCAACTTCCCCTTGCCCTTGTCCGGGCGGGGCTGGTCCGCTGTCCGGGACACAGACCCCAAGCTTTCCCTTGGCGAGCCAGGACGAGGATCACCAATCCGTCCCGCCATCCTCTCCGAAACCGGACGACGGCACGTGTCACCTAGCCTATTGAAGGCAGAGGCTTTTCCACGCGCTGGGGTCTGCCCGGGCCGAAGAGGGGAAGCAGGGTGGGAGTGGGACGACGCCGTGTCCTGGGGCACCACCCCCTCATCGTTGCCTATCTGGACGGCCAACGGTTGGTGCTGAGGAGGTTGAGTGACGTTCCCCCCGGTCCTTGGCAAGAGTGCGCTGAGGACGGTGGGGTTCTGAGCTAGGCTGGAGATGATGGCCGACAGCGCGGCCTGGACCTGTGGATCTACGGACGGAGAGGCCGCGGCCATAGGCGGAGTCGGGGCGTGATCCGTCTTTTCAGCTCGCTTCTTGTCCAAGCCGAGGCGGGCATCAGGGGCTCCGCCGTTGAGTTGGTTGCGGAGGTCCGTTGTGAGGTTGAAGGCCTCCTGGAAGAGGTCCCCTCCGCCGGCCTGGTCGGCCGTGGCGTCCTCATCGTGCTCCCTGGGCTCTTGGTCCTCAGGGATGGCTTTGCTGACGAGGTTGCGGTTTGACTTAGTTCTCCCCATGATCAGTGGTTAGCTGTGCCTGGTAGCGACGAAGGGTGCTAACTTGATTGTTCTAGCTCTCAATGAGAGCACCAAATGATAGAGTATATCTCGAGAGAAGTGAGAGCTAGAGAGAGAAGTGCAATATATGCTTCAATAGAATGAATTTCTAACCCCTATAACTACTCCCAAGGGGAGTATTTATAGAGAAAATTAGGGTTGGGCTCCCAAGCCTTGGGCTTGGGAGGCCCATTTACAACTGGACCGCTACTGGGCCGAATACAAAGCCACTAATGGGCTGTATAAATGAACAAGTATAAAATCCGATTCTGGGAGGTCTTCGTGGCCGACGAGGGCGTGGCCGACGAGGGCACGGCCGACGAGGGCACGGCCGATGAGGGCACCCGGGTTCCTTGGGCTCGGGACCGTAATCTGAGTTGGCCCTTTTCGGCCGACGGGGGCGTCTTGGCCGACGAGGGCGCCACTTTGTTGTCTTGTGCTTTCTGTTCTTCCGAGTATGTGGGTCCGGGGGCTCAGACCCATATACTCCATCACTTAGACATATTTAATCCATTATTAAAAAGTTAGAAATACAATTAATAATCTATTGATGTCATATTCAATATTGAACAATAATCATTATTAATATATTTAAGCAGTTCAACATGCCACGTATTAAAAAATGACACATTCTCCTAGAATAACTTGAACAATATAGATATAATTAAATCAACAGTGATCTCTAACAATAATAATAAAAAATCAAACAACATGGATATAAAATCATTTATTCCTAATATGATATTGTGTATTTAGTTATTTTTATAATTTAAAAAAATCGAATAAGACTTTCGGACAAAGTTGTGTGCCTCGACTCATGGAATCCCTGTGTAGATACACCTGTGACATAAGTGTATCCCTCTTCACTCATCAGTTACTGAGCGATTCAACCATCGCGACTCGCAAGCTTTTGGAACAAGATGGACTTGTTTTTGGGTATTAGTACATTACCCATTAGTCATTAGGGATTTTTAACCAACGTAAGTATTAATTTTGGGCTTCAAAATTGTAATGGACTTTTACAATATTTTTAAAATTAAAAGTAATTGTTGGGTAGGGAGTCGGTACGGTATTATACCGTTATACCGCGGTATTTGAAATCATTTACCGCCGTACCGAAATCAATCGGTACGGTATGATACCATACCGAAAATGACGGTATACCAATAGTCCGGTATTTTTCGGTACGGTAAGTGCGGTATACCGATTTTCCGGTAATTTTGCCCACCCCTATATGCGTAATCCAAGGCAGCCATCAACGCTGTCTTATTCACGGATCAAAAATGATGTTTGTATCCACTCATATACCCCTTTTTATACTCATTCATGTTTGCGAAAGATTTTTTGGTTTGTGAATTCCGTTCACAAACAAAATATGTCTTATTTTGTCTGTGCAAATTTGCACTGACAAAAGAAGACATTTATCTGTGAATTGGACTCACAAACAATAAGAAAACCTTCACAGAGGTAAGTATAAGGTGGGTATAAGGGGTGACTACAAGAAGCATTGTTGTTCATGGATGGCGCCGTATCCACCACGCACCACAATTCCCCTCTAAATGCATTGTTATTCGTTGGCTGGGGAAGCGGCTTGACTTCCGACTCCAACCGGCGTCTTGTCCATCCAACTGGGTAAGATTAATCGTATATAGTCTTGTTTCAATAACAAGTTGTCTTTTCATGAGAAATGTAAATATCTGCTTTTGATAGTCTAAAATGCACGATTGCACTTGTGATTTTGTTTATCCACTTTTAGTCATCCACGGTACTCTTTTGCACACAAAAAGTCCACTTTTTACAAAGAAGATTTTTTTTATTTACAAAAATATCACTGCGTTAATAACTCACTATAATGCATATTTAACATATTTAGAGTCATTATATCTTAGATTCAATATTTTATGTATTTAATCTTGATATAGCATCTTCATCATTCATTTACACTTAACGGTTAACACTATCATATCATAGAATTTTGCTTTTGTATCAAATAAACCACGCTATTGTACCAAGCAACCAAACATGGGTTGAAAACCCCGACGTCCATATAAAAAATGATAACATGTATGAATTTGTGACGATTCTACTCTCAAATCAATCCAACTTTCTAAGTACTTTAAAAAAAACACAATATAAAATCATCAAAGCAAAGATGATTATATTCTTCTTCATTGACACTTATAGGCTCCATCAGCAGACAAAATTCCACATTTCCACAATCACCAAAATGCCGGATCTTGGTTCATCATTGGAGAATATAATCGTGTAGGCTCCTTCAGTTTTTGACACTCGGAAACTTGCACAACTTATTGCCTGAGTATTTATTCCAAACATGAGCTTATTTCACAGTAATCTCAGAACTCATTTGCTTTGATATGGAAATTAACTTATGTAGAAATGCTTTGCTTTGATAAAATTTGGATTAATCTATATGAACTCACTCAGAAAAGTACCAAATGGTGCTGTTTTACCAATAGAAAGAAGAAAGAATTTGACTTTGCACCACATTTTTTGAATGCTATTTGACTTTACCCCAATTTACTATAAAATCATTTGACTTTGCATCTTAACGGCTGACTTTGCAAATAAGTTAATATAACGGCTAACTTTTCATGTGGAAAAACACAACTCACCTGTAATATTTTCAAAAAGAAATCAGTCAGATCAAATTATTTCATGGATGGCACATAATAATAATACAGTAATTAGTGGTTAATTAGGATACTTACTAGGGTCCTTCGGCGTGGAATGAGCAATGCCATTGAAGCTGCAGGTCCCACCTATGCTCTTAAACTGTGCCCAGTAAGCACTGAAAGCATAGCTGGCATCTCGGATCAGATCGTTCGGCTCGTAACATTTGCCACCGGGTCGGATCGGGTCACAGGTCCCATTACCCTGCCCACATGCGTAATCCAAGGCGGCGGTCAACGCCGTCTTATTCAAGGACAGCGCCGTATTCACCACGCACCACAGTTTCCCCCTAAATGGCTTGTTATTCGTCGGCTTAGGAAGCGGTTTGAACTCCGACTCCGGCGTCTTGCCGGACAGATCGATTTCGTACACGTTGGTGCCGTTCGGGTATAACAGCCCGAAATGCCGCTCCGTTCTCGGACCCGGCTTCTGATTCTCGTTGTACAAAGCGAAAATGAAGGCCGGCACAGCAATCCCCGGCCTGGCCGGCGTCCCCACCAGCGGCTTAGAGCTGAACTTCTTCACGACATTGCGGTTGTAAGTGGCGGCGTTGTAAATGTTCGTTCCGATTTGGTCCGAGTCGCCCGCGCTGGGCCAACCCGTTTCCGCGATAAACAGGGGAAGATCCGGGTGCCCGAGTCGCTTCAGGGCGAAATATACCGAATCAATCATCTGGTCCAACAAGTTCGTGTAAGTCAAACCCGAACCCGGATCCGAATACGTCACATTCGTGTGCTTCATCAGAGTGTAGTCAAGGTCAATGTCGTCGGGTTGAGCCGCCCAAGCGAAATACGGGTACACATCGAAGAAGAAGAAGGACCTTGAATCGGCCAAGAAGTTTAATAGAGGCCGGAAAACGGTATCGGTGATATCCGACCGGAAACTTCCATTGGACGGCGGGAACGACGTCTCCAACATATCCATAGCCAGAGGGGTACCCACTTTGACCTTGTGGAGCCGATATTTCCGGACGGATCGTCGGATATTGCGCATAGCGGGGACTAGCTGGAACCAGGTACTGTTCGGCTGGCTGCTCAGAATCTCATTTCCGACTAGGAGGTGACGGATCATGGTTCTAGGGTAAAAGGGGACGAGATTGGTGTGAACCCACCGGTCTGAGAAGGTCTGGTTGGAGGAGACATTGGGGATGAGGCCATTGGGGAGCATGACGGAGACGTGGAGGTCGGATCCTTGAAGAGATTTGAGGATATCCGGGTTGACATCGTAGATCTTGACCTGCTCCGCCTTGAGGCCATTAATGAGCTCCACAGATTTTGCAGGGACGGGAAGATCATTCCCCAGTTGACCGTAGCATATTCCTATTCCACGGGTAAGTTCTGCTCCTGGAATTCATAAATGAAGAAGAACAATCATCAATAAATGAGTACGATAAGACTAGTTCCAAAACTCCGGGATTGATTACTTGATACTTACCGGAATAGGAAAATAAGGCGAAGAGAGAAAGCAGAAGAAGAAAAACGAGGAAGGCCATATTCAACGAGCCTTTTCTTCAGGAAGAGTAATTCTGTTAACTAGACTATATAAGTCTTCCGTATGTGTACAGTATACTACAGTAAATTTTAAAGACAAAAGTATGATTAGAATACTGTTACTAATTAAGGCTTTAAACATATTTTTCTAGAATATTAAACATACTATTTAAGTCTTTAAACATACTCCGTACTAATTAAGGCTTTACTAGAATTTTTCTTTAACTTTGCCTGTTATTAAGTTCTTTTATGAAATTTAAAATAAAGTTGTAGATTAATTAATGAAGTAATTATTATCTTGAATGGGACAAATGTAATTCCAAAGAGTATCAAGCACTTAAAGATTGTTGAAACTAGGTGATGCTAAACCTAAACTTAGCACTTGCTTTTGGAATCTCCGTCTAAGTACATGTGAAGGCTTTGTGACCGGTTACAGCCCGATGAAGTTAAGGGGCAATTACTGAAGTCAACTACATGCTCGTTTCTTAGTCATGATTTTTTACTTTTCAGACTTATAAGTCAACTACATGTCCGTAATTTTTTGTTTTACGGATTGAATTGTGTAATAATAAGAAAAATGTAAGATTTGAGTTACTTTTATGGCTATATCGACTAAAGTTACTGTAGAGAACCATTTTAGCTATTTTTTATATAATTTTTTCTTTATTTTATTAATAAAATGTATTTTAAATTATTAATTTTCACAAATCAAAAGAATCAATCAATACAACCACATCAACCAGAATTTCATAAATTTCATCAGAATCAACCATGGTCGGTAGTTGGTACGTGCCTTATCATGTTTTTATATTTTGGGACACCATGGCTACAGTTTGAGAATTACTCCTTATTTGAATCATATTTTTGGAGGATGAGACGTGGTTATTAGATCATAACCTTTTAAGTAGGGAAGATTTACTGCATAAAGTTTCTAATTCATGCACGATTGTGATTGAGAATGTCACCCCCGGACACGTCAAAAATGTTATAAACACTAACATTGTTAGCAAAAGTGTTAAAATTATAAACGGACATTTTGTACTTAAACTGATTTGGTCTAGACTGAAAATGTTAAAAGAGTACATTACAGAGTATGTACAAAACATAATGATATAAGATGAAATAAAAATCATATACGGAGTATAAGATATATAACACACACATGATAATATAAATAATATATACATAGAAAACACATACATCTATTAAAGTATTACTATCTCTGTCCCCCTAAGTTTGGGACAAAGGATTGTTGTGTAGTTTTTAAGATAAAGTAGAATTGTGCGGTTGATATTGAATTGATAAAGTGTGAATAAACTCTAACCACTCAAATTTTACCAAATATGGTATGGGACAAACTTAATGGGACAGACGAAAAGGGTAAAATGTGACAAAGTTAGGGGGACGGATGGAGTAATATGAATTTTGATAATAAAATAATAACAATGATACTAAACCAGATGTGGGAAAACAACATCACATGCCAAGAACCAGCCTCATGATCTCACACCTACCATATATATATTGTATATACATTATGAATTATGAAAATGTATGTATCTTACAAAATAATTCACAATAAATTCACACAGCTCACAAGGATCGATCTACAACTATAAATAAAGATACCTTTTCATTCTAAATCACTACAAACTGAAGAAAACGAGTGAGAACACCTATATACATATATATACATATAGGCAAGAAATTGCTTATAAGCAAGAGAGGAGAGTCGTGAGAAGTCTAGAGATACTTCCCAATAAATTTCAGACCAATTCGTAGTCATCGGAGCTTCCTAGCGGTTGCCGGAGTTGCAATTCGTGGAAACGGGTCTTCAGTAAAAGCAGATATTTGGCCGTAGATAGGGGTGTCAGAGCTTCATCTTGCCGTCTAGATCATTTTGCAACTTGAATCGTCTAAATCTCTTACCTGTGAGTAAAGTTATCGCTAGCCAAAGTTTTCGTAATTCCGGTCGTCGGAATCGCGACTTGGAGAAGAACCGGGAAGAAGACAACTCTGTCTTCTTGGGCCGGATCGCCTATTTGGGCCGGTTCGGCCCAGTTTCAATAAAAATGTAAAATAAAATAATCAATGAAATAAATAAAATCTGGAAAAATATAAATTAAATACCTGATATAAATATAAATATTCTAACCAACCTGAGTTGATTTGATTGGGCCATATAAAACTAGTTAAGTAATTAAATAAGGAAATTTTTATATTAATGGTGAAATAAATAAATCATTGAGATTGAATTGAAAATAATATTCTGAACAAAAAATGATGTTTGGAAGAAAATAAGGAAAAGAAAATAAAGTTGGGTTAGCTAGCATAAATGGATGACTATATTTGGACTTCATAAATATATTATTGAATTAGTGGACTAATTAAATTAATTTGATTAAATTAATAATTATTATGCTTGATTATTATTGATTCATACTTCATATAAATTATTAAACTATTTGAACTCATAAAAATTAGTTGATTAATATAAATAAATTAATTAAGTAATGTGTACTTAATAATTTAGTTAATTGACTTCATTGGACTTGTTTAACTAAATCAATTGGTTTAATGGACAAATTAGTTAAATTATGGACTTGGTAATATTGTTGGACTATATAGTAAAAATAGAAAACTAAAACGAAATTAGAATTTGATTTTTGGCCTTAATTGAATTAGATTAATGTATTTAGCTATATTGATATAATTAAACTTATTTAGTTGATGAAGTTAGTTCAATTAAATTAGTTAATCAAATAAGTAAAACTGGAGGATTGAATTAGTTAATATAATTGGGTTAGTTAGTATAAATAAACTAGCAAACTAATTAAAGTTGTTATTGAGATTATCATTAATGACTATTATTTCAAATTATTGCTTACACCAAATTATTATTTAAAGGTTTATTAAATAAATTATACAAATTATGTAAACTGAATTTTGGACTAAAATTGGTTATTTAATTCGAAATAATGAAATTATCACGTAGTTAATTTAATTAGACTAGTTACCTAATTAACCAAATAAATTATGAAGGGAATTAGTATGATTAAATAAAATAATAAGGCTGGACACGAAATTTACATTTAAATAAGGTTTATTAATCTAATTTAATAATTATATTTAAAGAAGGAATCGTGAAATTAAAATAATTAAAGGTGGAATATATAGGAAATAACAAAAATAATAGAATAGTTATTGATTTAGAATTTTGATCAATATTAGAAGGAAAATTCAAGTGAAGACTAAGTTAGAGATTTTACTAAGGAGATTATCACAATTTAAGGTAAGTTCTCTGTCAACCAAAAATGTTTTGCCTCGTACTTATATGTATGGTTATAAGTCCGTATTTAGACATGCATTTGATGCGTGTTTGGATCGGGTTTGATGGTTTTCCCTAGCTTTAAGGTGTTACAAGTCTCAATTTTAGCTCAAGTTATGTTTACCGGGTGTTGCTTCGAGTTTTGTGTCATTTGGAGTCAAAATGAGGATTTTAGAGTTCGGCACCGGCGCTTGAGAAGAAATCAGGATGAGTTGAGAAGCATTCGAGAGTGATTTGAGAGCTTTGGAGGTCACCGGGAGGTTCACGATGAAGATTTGAAGGAAAAAGAGCTCTAGAATTGGCTACAGGATCAAAAGAAGATGAATTGAGCTTGAAATCAACGATCAGGATGACCTTACGCCAATCATTCAAGCATATCTCTTTGTAGAAAGATTCAATGTACACGATTAAAATTCCATATGAAATCTAACGTCAAGGGATACAAATCATATGAAGACACCTTTGCTAGAATATGAGAGAAAGAAGGTGAAAACACATCAACTACAACTCATATGAAGACACCTTTGTTGCGATCTCTACTGCGATTTCAGAATGATACCTTACACCGACTTGATCATATCTCTTGATTGGGTGATTCAAATCACATTCGGCAAATTGGGGTGTATAGAGGACTTCATTAACTACAACTTTCATGAAGGAAATATTGCCAAATATTGGGAAGGGAGAGGCGCAAAGATGAAGAGGGAGCTGAAGATCATGGTTGTTTCCTATCACCCACCTTGAGGACAAGGTGGTTGTTTGGGGGGAGGGTATTGATAGGAATCGGGCTTATTAGACTAAGAATAGAAGTAGTAGTAGTAATAATAATAATAATAATAATAATAATAATAATAATAATAATAATAATAAGAATAATAATAATAATAATAATAATAATATTAATAATAATAATAATAATAACAATAATAATAATAATAATAATAATAATAATAATAATAATAATAATACTAATAATAATAATAATAATAATAATAATACCAATAATAATAATAATAATAATAATAATAATAACAATAACAACAACAACAATAGTAATAATAGTATTAATAATAATAAATGTACATATAGTATACATAGAAGGGGAGGGGAGTCATAAAGGGTAGGTTGTTAGACAGATTAGTCTGGACTGGTAGGATTGAGACTCATCATCTCTTTCTTTGGGGCTTCAGCTGTATTCACTTCACCATTAATAATACTTTGAGTTTTCTTGAATACTTTTCATCAAATTCTGTAAATTCTTGTATACCTCGAGTTGTTCTATCACATTTTAAGTATCTTAGCATTGTCATCCCCATTTTTCAAGTACGTTTTACTTGCATCTTTGAAAGATTCATGGTGGATTAAAAACATCTATATTTTGTTTTCAAATATCAAAATCAGTTTTCTATTAAAAAGAAGCATTTCATATTAGTTCATAGAGGAATACATAATGACAACATAAACTCAAGAAAAAGAATATATACATGAAATCACACAAGTCATAAAACCAGAGCAACTAATATCAAGAAATCAACATTAACAAAAACCTAAACTGTTGATGCCATTAGGGAGTTTGTCATTAGTTTAGCTGAATGGAATTCCAAGAAAGGAATATCGACTTGCCAAACAAGCAAAGTTTTCCGACGACAACGTGGCGGTAGTAGGATGGTAGAGCAGCGGTGGCTGAGCTCACTCTAATCCCATTGTTGGGATCCCGCTCCGCTTGTTCCCAGCTCTGCTAGTCTGCTACACCAGATCAGCTTCCCACACCCAGGGGCGGCTTTGAGGGCAGTTGGGCCAGGCAACTGCCTTGGGCCTCAACTACCAAGGGGGCCTCCAAAAAATTCTACTCCGGTATTAGTATTAGGTGTTATTCGCAGATCGCCAATACACCAAGCGGCAACTGCAAGCAGAAATCAGCTTTATAGTTCACTTTTGACTATTCTTCCTTCATCAAAGTTTTAGCTAATTAAGTCTTCTATCCAACACAACTTGCAAAACTGGATTTGAATCATCCAATAAAAATATATGAATAAAATGGTGGAAGGTCGCATTCTGAAATCTCAACAGAGATTGTCTGACTTCATCATCTGTTTTCACCTTGCTTCTCTCAGATTCTCACAATGGTGTCTTCATATGATTTGTAGCCCTTGAAGTTGGCTTACATATGAAACTTGAATCATGTTTTTTGTACGTTCCTAAGAAAAGATATGCTTGAACGATTGACAGAACGTCATCCTGACCGTTGTTTTCAAGCTCTATTCGTCTTCTTTTGATCCCGTAGCCAATTCTAGAGCTCTTTTGTCTTCAAAACTTTGTCTTTAACACCTCACTGATCTCATATGCTCCTAATCCACTCTAAAATGCTTCTCAACTCGTTCCTATTGCTTCTCAAACACCAGTGCCAGGCTCAAATTCCCTGATTTTAACTCCAAAAATACCAAAACTCGAACCAACGGTCGGTAAATATGACTTGAGCTTAAAATTGAGACTTATGACACCTTAAAGTTAGGAAAAAACTATCAAAAGCCGATCTCAACACGCATCAACGTCCAACACAGACCGCTAATCGGCTACTGTATATATGCCTCACTGCCCGCCGTCGACATGGGTCCTTGGTTAGTGAATCAACTAAGACTCTTCAGCTCTTCTCTCCGAGTCTCGTTCTTGAAGTCTCTTAATACTTTTACAAGTACAAGTTTGCCTTGTGTTTTGAATAAGTTTGCATTTTAAAATTTATCCTTTTGAATATTACAAACATTATATCGTGGAATTTGAATATGCTTTTTTTCATAAGGCGATTTTTATTCAATTTATCTGATTTTAAAAGTGATTTGTACATAGTAAATATTTTTCGTCTGGGGCCTCCAAAATGCTCAAGCCGCCTCTGCCCACACCCAGCTCTTGCACAACCTTAGTGTACACTGGAATTCTCACATACATTAAGTTTTATGTAACAATATGTGTGAGTATACTCTTATATAAAGAAGTTTAAATAGGCATATTTAGTTATGAGATTATTTATTTATTTATATAAGTTCATAGATATGTGCGAATTCCCAATATTTGAAAATTGTATTCCACACAACTGAAACAAGGCATGTGAATGAGATACCAGTTCACCATATATAAAAGTTAGCTTCATATATATACTAATCACTAGCAAGCAAGAACAACAAAATTAGTTGTAAGATCTATCTACAATTCTACCTTATTTCTAAGTATAAAATCTGCAGGCAGGAAGATACCCATCATCCAAGATTTACATTAGAATTTACAGTTTCTAAAAGAACTTGAATGTCCTGAGGGCAATCTCCCCAACATCATGGTTGTAGAGTTGCAACTACTATCGTACATATCTTCACTAACAGAAGCACTACTGTCTTCATTCGCCTTCCATCTCTGCAACGCTTGAGGTAGGCTAATATGCAAGTCAACCCCAAAGCTTTCATCATCATCTTCGTCTGCGCTCACGGGAATCCATTGCTCCACCATGGGAGACAAGACGTTAACTGCATGGCTCATGTCGGGCCTCTGTTGAGGCTCGCGAGCCGTGCAGTAACCTGCCAGGTCTGCCACTCTGCATATTCTGTCAAAGGTTTCTCCATCTGGCTCAAGACAAGGGTCAAGAATGGTCTTTAACTTCTCTCTGTTTGCCAGTTGTCTCCGGAACCAAGGGACCAGATGAACTTTGTCCTCCGGTAAGCTCTCATCCAGTGCCTTTCTGCCCGTCATCATCTCCATTAGCACCACCCCGAATGAGTACACGTCCACTTTTGTTGTAACTCGCCCTGTTGCTGTTTCAAAACACAAGGATGACGGTGGTTTAGTTTTCATATTAAACCATGCATAGCCTTTTTAAGGGCAGTCTTTTTTCCTTGGGATAAATTTACAAATTAGGAGTAAGACATAGTTATATACACAAAATAAGAGTAACATATTCTATAGAAGTAAAAACAATCTATGCACAATTTTACCCTTCCTTACAACAAATATATTTACAATATAAAAGAAAAAGAAAAATACAGTTATGAAACTCAAGCTACCACTCTATTGGCAGCTCTCGTCACTGCAGCCGGTCATCCCTCGTCCCTTCCCCGCCCATGGATATTGAATCCCATCACACAGTCACTAGACGTTGACCGCACAGGCCACAGCTTGCCGCTACAGGTCGTCCTCCTCCAATGACACCACGAAATTAAACCCTAAATGCTAAACCCGGAGAGCCTAAATTTAAGCAATTTGTTCATGTAATTTATATTCTAATATTATTTCGAAATACTCATGTTGATACAATTCGTGTTTTCTTTAGTCTTTTTAAAGCTTTAAATGCTTAAACTTTAACGCTAAACCTTGAACCTTTTTGTGGTAGAATAAAAAGAAAGTAAAACGAACTCCCATTTTGATTGAGAATTAAAGATTGGTGCTTTTATTTCTTGTTTTTGCATTTTCCCAATCTTTACTCCTACAAGATAATATTTTCAAATAAAAAAGTCAAACTAGCTATATTTTATACTCGTATATTAAATGAGGGAGTGAAGGAGTGCTTATTTGATGAAGGGGTGCATACCAGCATATTCTGGTGCAAGATACCCAAAAGTTCCGGCCAACTTAGTTTCCAAAGAGTTAGTGCCATCAGGGGCATTCTTTACCAACCCAAAATCGGAAACCTTAGCCCTCATCCCATCCCCAAGAAGAATATTAGAAGGCTTAAGATCTCTGTGTATGAAACTCTGTTGTGCCAAGCTGTGCAGATACTCAACCCCCCTGGCCACGTCCAATGCTATAGTCACCCTCTGCTTCCATGTCAACGGAGGTCGGTTTCCGTCCCTCCGGAATAAATGTTGACCTAGTGTTCCTTGTGGCATGAACTCATAAACCAAAAGTTTTTCGTTCCCATTGACACAAAAGCCATGGAGTGCCACCAAGTGCCTGTGTCTCACCTTACTCAGGACTTCAATCTCAGCCTTAAACTCATTAGTCCCTTTTGAGCTAAGTGCATTAGATTCCATCCTCTTGACAGCAATTTGAGTCCCATCATAAAGCTGCCCTCTGTACACAACCCCAAACCCACCCTTTCCCAGAATGTTTAGGTCACTGAAGTTGTTGGTCACTTCTCTTAAAATTTCAATGGGGATCATGACATTTCCGCAATCATAATAGGAAGGGTTGAGCTTTTCCTTAGAGTTGCCTTTCCTGCTTCTAGTCTTCTTGCACTGCTTGTGTATTACCCAACAGATGGCTACGATTTGTAGGGTGCCCGCGATAGCAATGGCAGCTATCACGCCATGAGACACTTCGCCTTTCTTATTTGTCATCTTGTTCTTGTTCTTCTGCTCTCTCTTTTGGGATGACCAGGATGACTTGTCTAGAAACAGGGGTGGCGGAGATGGCTTTGGCAGGTCAATCCCTATGAACGGGTTGCCATCTGTTTTAATGGTCAAATTTGAAGAAAAAGGCGGGATCTTTCCTGAAATGTTGTTGTTTGAGAGATCAAGAAGCTGAAGGTGAGGCAAGTTAGTTAGAGTTTCTGGGATGACGCCTGTGAGTTTATTGTCGTGTAAGAGCAGTTGTCTTAATCCAGTGAGGTTACCTATGGCAGGAGAGATTGTCCCAACCCAGTTATGCTTTGAAAGATTGATGACAGAAACTTTCCCGCTGACATCACAAGCAACAAAGTCCCAATCTTCACAAGGGTCGTTCCCCTTCCAAGAATCTGCTAGAACTAGAGGGTATCCCAACTCTTTAGCCACTTCAAGCAATAGATTCACCTCCTGATCGCACGGTTTGGGGACAGGGTAACAGAAGCTGTCCGTGTTCCCGAGATTCACCTGAACGTTTCTTGGAAAACTGGGCATTGGCCCTTGAAACATATTGTTCTGCAATGAGACATTGCTGAGCTTAGGAAGTGAGCCGAAGGAGTTGGGAATCACTCCGGTGAGGAGGTTATCCCGGAGTTCAAGGTCGGAGAGGAATTGGGAGCCGGAAAAATCGGGGATTGGGCCTGTGAATTTGTTGACATGGAGCCAAATCTGGGTCACCTGTTCCATATTTCCCAGAACGTCGACCCGACCTGAAAGACCCGAGAGCTGGTTGTTGAGTACCAAGACCTGGATCCCGGACTGAGCCAGAGACGGCGGGAGGGCTCCGGTGAGGTTGTTGTAGGACAGCTTCAGGATCTGGAGGGTGGGTATTGAGCCGAAAATGTCGGGGATGGGGCCCACGAGGTTACACCGGCCGCATGAAAAGCTGACTAGGGATGAAGATTCCGTGATTTCTACCGGGAACGTCCACGGTGCAAGACTGGGGACGTCATTGATGCTAATCGTTCGTAGATTAGTCAGGCCGGAGAGGAAATTCGGCGGAACAGAGGTGAAATTGTTGTTGTCGAGATTGAGATCCTCCAGGGAAGAGAGATACGAAAATGGAGGTAAGGGGCCGGAAAGTTTGTTCATTTCGAGGTTCAGAGTCTTCAGGCTGGAGAGCTGGTTGATATCCGGAGGTAACCGGCCGGTGACGAACATGGAAGAGAGATTGATCGATTTGACACGACCCATACCGTCGCATTCCACGCCGGGCCATTTACACGGGTCATTCCCTGACCAGCCGACGGGGAGAGGGGAGAGGGATTTGGCGAAACTCGCCATGATGGTGGCGTCATCGGCGGAGACGTGTCGGTTGTTGGGGATGAGAACGGCGAAGATGGCTACAATCAGACGGAATTCATGTAAAAGATCGTTTCTTTCTCCATTCATTATTGCCGAGATGCATGAGATGGTGATGGGGTTTCTCGGCTGAGGCTGGCGGCGGCGGCGGCGTTCCCGTATTTCTCCGTCATCGTATGATCGCCACCATCGGGAACGGGTAACTGAGAGAGACAAAAGCAAAGAAGGAGAAAAGTTTTGGCGCTTGAATTCAGGAGGCTTGAGAACAAGGAAGAAAATGCAGCGGCCATGTGGCACCCGCGAAGATAACAAGAAGGCATTCCAATCTTTCTTTTTGTTTTTTCTATTTTGGTCTCTTTGAATTTTGACCAAATCTTTCCCACACGGGAGAACTTACTAAATTGTTTGTCAAAAAAGGTCAAAACTTCTTTTATTTTCCCAATTTTCAATATGGAGTATTGGCTAAATTTACTTATAAAAAACTCTAGGGTTGCCGTCAACGGCACTGCCTAGTTGTTGGTCCCGTGGTGCCCTGGTCAACGGGGTACAACGCCGAGGTTGAGTGCTTTCGGATCGAGATTCGACGCTTGGTGGTACTCGAGAACATAAGTATTTTGACATGGAATTGCAGAGGTCTGGGGAGCCCGGCGGCGGTGCAGTGTTTGACGGAACTGGTGCAAAGGAATAGATCGTCAATTCTATTCTTAATGAGACGAAATTGAGATGCAGTCGGGCGAAACATATCCTTCGGTCGCTAGGCTTTGCTAACAGTGAAGGAACGGATGCGGAGGGTCAAGGAGGAGGAATCATATTGGGATGGAACGAAGACTGCGACGTCTCAGTGTTGGAATCTTAGGCCAATTTTGTCGACGCCAAGTGAGTTCCACGGATGGAGGTGTTATGTGGCGTTTTACCGGCTTCTATGGATACCCGGAGACGATGAGGCGATGAGCGACATGGGATCTTCTAAAGCGTTTGGCGGTGAGCAACTCTGCCGTATGGCTGGTCATGGGAGACATGAATGATATTATGTATGCATCGGAAAAGAAAGGTCGAGTCCCGCACCCACCATGGCGATTACGGTGGTTTAAAGAAGCGGTGGCAGCCAGCGATTTAAGAGATTTCCCCTTTGATGGATACCATTGGACATGGGAACGGGGAAAAGGAACTCCAAACCGGGTAGAGGAAAAACTGGACCGGATCCTAGTTAATGACTCCTTGTGGGATATTTTCAGGGAGGCAAGAGCGAGCTCGGTAGAAGCTACTACAAGTGGCCACATGGCCTTATTCATTCGTATTAGACCAACTTGCTTTAGCAAGGCGAAGAAGAAGTTTCGCTTTGAGAATAACTGACTGAAAGAGGAGGAATGCAGAACAATTGTGGTTAATAGTTGGCGAGCAGGAGACCAGATGAAAGTGAATGACCATATTCTCTTTTGTGGGAAGGAACTTGCTAGATGGGATGGTAGTAGAGTAAAGGGTTTCCGGCATCAAATCCAAACCTGTAAAAAAAGATTAGCATGGCTAAAGTGGAAGGAGGACCGGGCTAGTATAACGGAGTACATACGAACCGGACTGGTACTGAATTCCTTACTAGAAAAAGAAAATCAATATTGGAGGCAGAGAGCAAAGGAGTTCTGGCTGAGAGAAGGGGATATCAATTCACGATTTTTTCATAATGCAGTTAAAGCTCGTAGAAGGAGAAATAAAATGCAGGGACTAAGAAGGTCGGACGGAAGTTGGGCAACTGACAGAGGAGAGGTGGGGGATATGGTGTAACACCCCCAAATTTCCCACCCAAAACAATAATATATTTAAAAGAAATACTTTATTCATTCATCAAAGAGTTCAAGAAATACAGCGGAAGTCTAAAAGGGAAATGGGTGTTACCCCCACATCCGGTCATCTCTTAACCGAATGCACAGGCAAACCAAACAAAAATATTAAAACTAATGAAATAGTAAATAAATGTTTATTTCATGACTAAATTTAACTAAGGCATCTTCTAATTCGCACTCAAGCTCGAGCAATCCATCAATCCACATAGGCATCCAACTCATCACCTGATAAAATTTAAGGGAGAAGAGAGAGACAAGAGAAATAACAAAAATTAGCTTTAGAGCTAAGTAAGTACTACCCAACCCCGTAAAATAATCAGGTTTGGTGAAAATAGTTTTTTTTTATATAATACTTATATAAAAAGAACTCACTCCACCAAAATTCTTTTCTCTTTGATTTTTCTTAAAATTACTTCTTTACTAAAATCCTCAACTTCTCTTCGAAAATCTCTTAGTATTTCTTCTCTTTAAACTTCTTAAGAAAATCACTTCTTCTCTAACTTCTTAGTAATTTAGAAGGGCGGTGCTCAACCTTTCGACTGAGCCCGGTGGACCGTGGTTACGGACGGCCACCCCGATCAAGTGCCGGTACCACAACTGCTCTTGTGGAAACGAAACGACTACCTTAAGTGTGCACACCCCCTAAAAGGGATTCCAAGCCCTCCGAGTAGTAAGTCGTCACGAGTAATCGGGACTCAGTCTACCAACTACCCCTGAATAAGATATCTCTGAATGATTAGGGACTACTACTACAACTCTGCTTCTTAAAAGGGATCATCGATCCAATTATCACTCAAAACTTATCCTCACCCTTAGCAGCAGCTCTTTTACGTCGGAACTACTACTACTACCACAACTCTCCTTCTTAAAAGAGATCATCGATCCGAAAGTTACTCAAAAATCTCTTCTTAGTAGTAGCCCTAACCACTCTCCACATTTTAAGGGACGTGGAAAACCAACACCTCGGATTACTCCCGAGATGCTTATATCATGAAAACATTCTTTTATCTTGAATTAGTATACTCAAAATATTTCCCCAATTTCTCAACTGCCTCGAAAATAATTAAATAAAATGTTTAATACTCAAAAGCACTTCTTCTTAAATATCACAGATTGGAAAATTTCAGATCACATGCATACACTAAAATTACGTATCACATAATACATATATAATACAAGGAATCGATTTTGGATTGGCAGAAAACTTACCTTAAGTCCTGGTGCTCCTAATCTATTCCTCAATTCCGGTCTCTATAAAATCACCTTTTTAATTAAGATGATATAATTAGTCACTTATTCTATTTGTAATTATTTTACCCAATTTCCCCTTTTTATTTCCTTATTCGAATTTATTAATTTAATTAATTAATTATCTGAATTAATCACTTTTTATTAATTAAATTACCTTACTAATTCAGCCTTTAATTTCAAATTTTGAATTCTATAAAATATCCGAATATAATTAACTACAATATCAAATTTTTAATTTAATAATCACCATTAATTTACTCTACTTATAAAACATTAATTATATTTTAATATTATTAAAATATAGGAAACATATCCGAATTATTTTCTTTTAAGTAAACTATTCAAATTACTTTATATTAATCAACATTATTAATAAATCAGAATATTATAATAATTTATTTAAACAAACTAATCATCATTAACTTAATCTGGTTTTATTAGCTTACGCAAACACTTAATAGTTCCGGTTCCGTAATTATGTTAATTTGATCAATTTACTTCAATTAATCCAATAATTAGTGAAAATAACATCTATCCAACTTTATTTAATCTAATTATGATACTAAGTCCCAATAAATAATTATTATTTTAATATGATAAATGTTTATTAATTAAACCATCAATTCATTTTTTTCATCTAACATTATTTAATTATGTTAAATAACAATTAACAAATTTATCCAAGTGATTACTATCAATTAATCAAGACAATTTCATCATTAATATTTCTCATCTCTAATAGATCCATTTTGCAGATTATCATTATTATTATTATTATTATTATTATTAGTATTATTAGTACAGATTTTCGGCCAGCCCAACACTTTTAAAAGTACCGGCCCAAGTAACATATTCAGCCCATTTAACAACAAAAAAGAAAAAAAGGAGGAGAGATCTTCGTCTTCCTCAAAGTATTCGCCGGAAACGAAGTGAAAACGCAGGGGGGAGGGACTTACTTCGTGGGCGCACGAACGGCAGCGGTAGGGGCTCCTCCTAGGTTGGAGACGGTTGGCAATGGACTGGCGGCAGCGGCGGTGTCCCCCTTCTTCCTCGTTTCTCCGCCGTGGAAGTTTGCCCGGCGAACTCCGGCGAGGCTTTTCTCCCTCGTTTCACGACCGTTTTCAACGATTCTTTCTCCGTTGGATTCGTCTCACGAAGGGGAAGATTTCTATATGTTTTGGAGGCTCGGTTTTAAGTATAACGCTAGATGGGATTTTCACCTATATATATAGATAGTATATGCGTTGTATATATATTGTATATGTATATACTGCTCGTGTTTGTGATTGAGAATAAACACAGACGAAGGGCGCTATTTATAGGTGTAGGTCGCAGGTCCAGGTTGAGTTAGAGTTTGTGTTGAATTTAATCGGTTCCGTTCTTATCTCTGCATCTTTCGCAGGTTGGAGCTGCAGTTTGTTTCGCGTTGGGCTCTTCATTTGTGCGAGATCACAGTCAAGTTCATCTTGTAGGCGTAGCTGAAGTAGCCAGACTCCTCTTGGATGTGAACTCCTTGCTCGTTCGAAGTATTATGTATCTAGGACTTCAAGTAGTACTATAGTATATACATACTCGATCTGTTAATGCTCCTGGTGTTTTTTTTTCTTTTGTACTTAATTACTACAATTATTACGTATATAGCTTTAGGTATTAAAATAATTTTTTTTTAATTTTTTTTTGCCATATATATAACATTGTTATCATAATAAGTAAAAAGAATGTTACTTCTATTATCGGATCATTTTTTTCTGACTAAAATGTTGTAAACTTGGAAATTTTTATCTGGTTAGAATGTCACAACTGTTAAATTTTTGTTTGACTCACTTAAAAATTAAAATATCATTTCCGTAACATTTTATCTGACTAATATTTTTTATATATATAAATCTTTGGAGTGTCACATTCTACCCCCCTTAAAGGATGTTTCGTCCCGAAACATTAACTAAATTTAAATAATCAAATTCTTAAGTATTACATTCTACCCTCCTTAAAGAGAGGTTACGTCCTCGTAACTAAAATTTTACCTTAGTCAAATAACTCTGGGTAGCGTTTGCACATATCCTCCTCAGTCTCCCATGTGGCATTTTCGGCCAAGTGGTTAGACCACAACACCTTCACCATCTTAACAGCTTTTCTTCTAGTCTCACGAGTCTTGGTATCCAAAATCTGGATCGGCCTCTCCTCGTAAGTCAACGATTCATCCAACTCG